GAATATGGAGGGAGGTGGTTGCACCATAATCGTATGGAGCCAGGCAAATCCAGGGTGGAACTGTGCTCTTTGACTGTCAGTGCCACATTAGGAAGGTTTCATAAACTCTCACTATCCCTTGATTTCCCCTACATAATTGGAGATTAAACAGTGCTTATTCTGAGCTCCAGTGAACCTTCGTGAAACTGATAAATCAATTTAGTTTCAAACACTTTTAAAACATAGGATAAAAAAAGACAAAGAACCTCCCAACTTATATAAGACCAGCACAATTTTGGTTTGAAAATCCACAGAGAAAGCAAAAAAAAAAAAACTATGATTCATAGTTACTTATAAAGATTGATGAAAACCACCAAATAAAATATTATCAAATCAAAGTCCACGATGTTTAAAACAAACAAACATCAGTCCTATGAATCCAGAATAGTTTTGAACCATCAGAAATAGATCATGGTTAACCACAATAGGTTGGATACATACAACTGACTCCACTTCCTCCTGAAACCCTGCAGAGATGAGAGTAAAGAAATAAAAATGAGGGAGGGAGAGACAGGGAGGGAACTTCCATGGACAAGCGGTGTCAGCATTGCTTAGAAGATAGTGTTTATTAGCAAAGGGCACTGGCTGAGCAGAACAGAGAAAGTGACTATCTAACCACCTGTGGAGGGAAATGTCAGTGACCAGTGGCAGATGTGTGCCACAGGACTCCTGAAAGGCTTGGAGTGAGTCACCTGGTTATTAGAAGATGGAGTAAGGACAGCGTGGAGTGAAATCAGCAAGGCTGGCTGAAAGTCTATGAACAGAGGAGTTGCACCTCCTAAATTCCCTTTCCCAGCCCAGTGGTGGACAAAAGATTCTTTTTTTGTTTGTTTTTTTAAACCGTAATCATAATTAATAATAGGACAAGCAGACATATAAACAACTCAAGTACCACACTTGATATAACTGACACATATAAAATGCTCCATGAAAAAAAAATGACAGACTGCACAGTCTGTTAAATACATGTGGAATATTTATAAAAAATAGACCATACAGAGCTGGGCATGGGGGCATATACCTGTAGTCCCACCACTCAGGAGACCGAGTTCAAGGCCAGCCTAGGCCACATGGTGAGACTGTCTCATAAAAACAGATAAAGCAGTGTGTGGTGGTATACACCTAGGATCCCAGCACTCGGGAGGCTGAGGCAAGAAGATTGCCATGAGTTTGGGGCCAGCCTAGGCTACATAGGTAGTGAGTTCAAGGCCAGCCTGAGCTACATAGTGAGATCCTGTTTCAGAAAACCAAAAAAAAAAAAATTTTTTTTAATAAAAAAATTTTTAAAGTAGACCATACGTTAATGTGAAGCAACGCTCAGCAATTTTCTGAGAATTTAAATCACTTAGTATGTTTTCTGATTAGGAACAATTAAATTAGGAATAAATATCAGAAAGATACAGAAAATCCACAAACCTATGAAAACTAAACAATATAATTCTAAGCAACTTGGGAGCTAAAGTAGAAATCACAATAGAAATTGTACAATATTTTGGGAATAATGGCAGTGAGAATATACATATCAAAACTTGTTGGACTGTACACCAATGTTCATAAGATCATTAACAACAGCCCAAAGGTAGAAACAACCCAAATATCCTGCAGAAGATAAATGCTTAAACAAAAAATGGTATATACATGCAATGAAATATTATCCACTCTTAAAAAGAAACACAGGAGTCATTAAACCAGAGGTGTTCCAGACTTCAGTACGGTAGTAGAGAAGAATGACCATTTCCTTGGCATGGGGAGGTAAGAAAGAAAACAAACAAATTCCTCATATTTACTAAATGTGTTCAGCAACTTTCCATCACTATACCAAATACCTGAGATAACCAATTTATAAAGAGAAAAGGCTTGTTTCAACTCACAGTTTTGGGGGTTTCAGTTTGTAATTGACTGGCCCTGGTGAGGCAGCACAGCATGGCAGGAGTGAGTGGCAGAATACAACCAATCACCTTATAGCCAGGAAGTGAGAGAGAGAAAGAGGAAGAGGCATGCCCCAATGACCTGAGGACCTCCTTCTAGGCTCCGCCTCTTAATGATTCCACTACTCACCTCCCAGTAGCATCAACCTGGGATCAACCAAACTTTAACACATGGGCCTTTGGGGGATGCTTAGGGTCCAAATCGGAGGCCTGAATATCTGATTTATTGAGTGTCGACCGGATGCCATGCTCAGTTCTGCATGTTCCACATGTGTTCATTTGATCTTCAAAATAACCCACCAGACAGGAAGGAAAATGCACAAAAGTAGGCAAGACAATATTTAAAAAGAGCAAAAAGTACTTACCCTACCAGAAATTAAAACATACCAAAGAGCTGTGATAATTATAACAATATGATTTGAATATCCAAATAGACAAGTTAAAGTATTATTTTCTATTTATATTTAATTGACTGGTTAGATTAATTAATTTGACATGTTAGGCTAATTAACATTAGAACTGACATGTTAGATTGGAAGAATATAGAAACTGACACATGAGAGTGAAAGATATGATAAGAATGATATTTCAAAGTAGTAGGGAAAGTAATAAGCAATTCAATAAATGGTGTTGGGATAATTGACTATAACCACACTTGGAAAATACAAATTCCAGTTGGGTTAAGGACAAATTTAACATTAAAAACATGTTTATAAACTTGGACTAAGAAAGGCCTTCATAAATAAGACTTGCTTAGCAACACAAACTGTGTGACTTTGAGCACATTACTTAGCTTCCTGATGTTCTCTGATTTTTTTTTTTTTTTTGCTTTTAACAAACAATAATAAAGATAAACATTCAATGGAATGGGAATGACAACAGTAGGATTATTGTGACATTTACTCTGATCTGCCAGAGTATAAATCTCATTAGTTACATTAAACTTTGTGGTTTCATAGTTGTATCCAACTCTTCATAGTCCCTGGGAATAATGAAATTTTATTTTTTCTTGCTGCTAGTAACAACTTTATTGAGTCTGATATGCAAATATTCCTCCCATGCTAAGTCCTATATCTCAGCACCTCCAGAAGTGATAAGAATATGTTCCCCTTTGACATTTTTGACATGTTCTTTACCACTGTCATGCCTGCTTTTGAATATATGATTGCTTTCACCTTTACAGAAATAGCCAAAGAGCCAGGAGTGGTGGTGCATGCCTGTAGTCCCACCACTTGGGAGGCTGAGGCAGGAGGATCACCACAAGGTCAAGGCCAGCCTGGGCTGCATAGCGAGAACCTGTCTCAAAAGACCAAACAAAGCCAAAGGTCAGTGAATTCTGGATATTCTGTGCAATTTTTTTCTCCTTTTGAGCTCAGTTCTCCTGAGAAGATGATTAGTTTTACTAACTTGGGGAGCCATCTTCAGGATGGGCTACAGGGTACAGCTCTGTCATTGCCTCCTCTTATTCCTGCCTTCCTCCACAGTAAGGAGGGAATGCTTCAGCAAGTGCAGGTAAAAACATCTTAATGTGGCCGGACACAGTGCCACACACCTGTGACCCCAGCACTCTGAGAAGCTGAAGCAGGAAGACCCTGAGTTTGAGCCCAGCCTGGGCAACGCAGAAACTTACTGAGACCCTATCTCAAAATAGGAGCATTAGAAAGCTCAATGGGAGCCCTGGATCCAATCCCCAGTATTGCAAAAACATTTTTAATTAAGATGCTTTTTATTTGTTTCCCATTTGATCAGGAAGCTAAGAAGACAAATCGTACTTCACTGGCACAACTGTCATATTAGTGGTTTGTGTATTTTTCCCCTTCCATCTAACTAGACCAGTTCCCTGACAAAGTGACATATAAAGGTTCTGAGTTGCAGGGGTAGGATCCATTTCAAACCAGTCCAAGAAAACTCCTAGCTCAAGGGGCACTGACTTGAGTAGCTGAAAAGTCTCAGGCTGGATGTCACCTCGGCTGGCACTGGGGAGTCTGGCCCCACCAGGCCCTGTGGAATGGACTCCCCCAGAAAGAGGGAGGTCTCCTCGCCAGGCCGGGGAGATGAGTGCTGAGCTGGCAAAAGGAGCAGCTGTCCACGGCATGACCCCTTATTTCCTGGGTCAGGATGTCGCACATGTGGTGTCCATGTTGTCTTCTCCTCCCTGAGGTTATCTGCAGATCAAGGCATTGCCACAGCCCACGTTCTTGCTTGGTCATGAGGCCGGTGGCCCAAGCCCATCTGCTTCGGTTCCTCTGACTGCGTCTGTGATGAGGCACGGACGAGTGGTCAGCTCTCCGTTTCCTGCTTTGCCTCCATGACTTCACTGTGATCTTCACTATACAACAACCCATTGTCCGTTTGTTTATTTGTTTTGTGAAATTTTAGTAGGATGGGGTAATGTACAATACACAACATTGCGAAAGTGAGCGATTATAAACCTGGAGACAATGTGAATTCAAGTCTTCTAAGTGTGGCTCTGGGTCTTATATTCCTGGAACTGCAGGAAGGCCCTGAGGGGTTCTAAGTGCAGTTGGTCTTGATCCGTGGCCTGATAAAATTGTCCTTGCCACAGTGGGGGGATCTCCCCCAGCAGGAGGAGAGGCCTCGGTCTCCTGGGAATCTGACTGCTCTTCACTGCAGGCCCAGAACTAGCGCTTGAAGGCAGAACTGACAAGTGCTGACTGCATCCGGGCTCCCTTACCCACCTCGGAGAAGTTCAGGGTCTGACTCTGCTCCAAGTCTGCCTGCCTCGGGATAGGTTTTGGTGCCTTCCAGGGCATTTTGCTTCCCAATCTCACCTATTTGTCCTCTCTCCACCCTTCCATCCCCTTCCTCTGTCCCTCATTAGAAAGCTTTGTCTCAAGGGCAGTGGCTCTTGGTAACCATAGGCAACCACAAGTCCGTGGGGCCGATTTGCGCTGCATTTGTAAGGCATCACCTAGCCACTAACCGCGAAGATGGGAAAATGTGCTTTGAAGGTTTTCTGATGCAGTAAAATATCATCTTCCTTTTTCCTTCTTCTTTTTTTTTTTTCTGTAGAATGATCAGTCCGTGGGCGAGATGCAGATGATCAGAGGGGAGGATGTTTCAGCGCAGGCTGAGGCTGGAGAGGTTTGTTGATGTAGCTCTGCAGTCTGCTCTGATGTCTGGGGACGTCCTGGACCTTCCTCATCCAGACCCTCTCCCGGTTTGCTGATTCATGCAAATGGATGGTGAAGCCTTTTAATTGTTTTTTTCCTCTCTGAAGCACTCCTTTTAGAAAGTATCCAGGACAAGACACAGAGCAAATCCTCCCTCTCCGAGCTTTCAATTCCAATCTTATTTCAGACAGCAAAGCCCCTGGCCCTCTGTGCTCTGTCCCTTCCTGCCCACCCTTGCAGGCACCATCTGAAAAGGACGCTTCCTTTGTTTGTCTGGCTTGTGCCTCTCGGCTGGGCCTCTGCACCTAGGCGCTGCAGTGAGACATTTAAACAGGTTTGTTGAAATGCACAAAACTGAGGGAAGGAAGGAGAAATAAAGAGCTTCTTGCAAGTACATTTTTAACCTCTTTCCTTTTTTTCTTTTTCTCCTTAAAATGAATGTGACCTATTGGATTATGGGGAAAACACCTACAATTTTAACGGGGAGTTCCAAACCTGCCCATTCCTAATCACAAACCGGAGAGACTATTCGGATTCTGACATAAATACTTAAATAGGAAGGAAGGGTTGGTTCACAAAAGAGATGATCTCTGTGGAATGTAATTTGAAATGTAAATTTGCCGTGAATGAAAGCAGCAGAGCAATGCAGAATTTGTTTTTGTTCACCTGTACTGACCTAGCTTGTATTCATTATCCCCGGGGTAGACTCAGCTTGCTAAGTAAAATAGATCAGTCTGTTATACAGGCTTAATCTCTTATACTTGCGTATTGTCATGCAATTCTCAGTTGAGGAAAAAGAATAGCAGCCACATTTAATGAAAGCGTGTATCATAACATTGGGAGTGGTACAGAGCCTCCAGGATTCTGACTACAAAGCAGCCTGCTTTCCCGTACTCTGAAGGCAATGTAGTAGGTTCCAAGTAAATCGCCATCTAGTAAATTCTGTTCCGCAGCGATTGAAATTAACTTCTCCTGTTAATGCACCACTGGGTCATCAGTGCATTCAATAACATCCTAGAAGCTAAAATACTCAGAGCAATTTCCATAGATTCATCAAATTATACCATTCTGAAGCACTCTTTAAAAGATGCAATTTTGGCACTTCTGTCTGGTGTTGCCTTACAGGTTTATTCCACAAGGGAAATATCTTGCCCTGTGCTTTCGAGATGAACTCTGTCAGAGTGACAAGGCTAACATTCCCAGGTGAATGACAAGAAAAACATGTGTAGACAGAATTGTGCTTCCTTTCTCCTTGTCAATAAAATTGTCTTGTAGTTTGTTTTAAAGTGATCTCCCTCATAATAAACACTGGGCTTTCCCTTTCTTTAAGAGCCAGTGTTGCAGCTCAAAGGTGAAGTGGCCTCGAACATTCGTGCATCTCAGGCAGTGTTCGAAGGAGGTCTTGGCCGGTGGCTGGATCACGAGGACACTAATCTCATCAACGAATTAATGCATTGATGAGTTTGGGGCTGAATGGACGGTTAGAGGAAGAGAGCCCGTCTTTGATGCATGTACCTTGGTCTCAGCCCCTTCACCTCTCTAGATCTTTCTACCTCTCTCTGCTTCCTGGCTGCTTCTGCCTTGGAGCCAGCCAACCGTGGACTGAGGTCTCTGGAACTGTGAGCGAAATAAACCTGTTCTCCCTTGAGTCGTGCATATCTGGTATTTTGCTCACAGTGATGCAAAGCTGACTAATACAGCTCATGAGGAGCTAGAGGACAGGTAGCTTCTTATCAGGACTGGGATGAGCAGAAAGGGTGACAGCTCTCTGCTGCAGCACCTCCTCCTGCGATGACCACAAAGACCCCCCCTTGAGGATGCAGAGGTTGCAGGAATTCAGGGAGAAGAGATGGACAGCCAGCCAGCAGCATGAACACTCTGCCTTAGCTTTTTGCCAGCAGGACAAATTGATTTCTCCCAGGTTCCCAGGTGCTATTTAGCTGAATCCTTACACTCTGTGTGTGCTTAGATGCATTTCTGCATATGTTTAAACACGTGCCAAGTAGACCTCCTTGGGCTTAGAACACAGAGGGTAAATATTTCTCAGGCGAATCAACACCAATTAGCCAGGCTCTCAGCTCTCATCCCAACTTGAGTTAAGGACCCTGCAGCTCAGGGTGGCTCACTCTCATCAGACGGGGTGACTGGATCAGCCAGGGCAGGCTGCATTACGTTTCCAAATATATCTGGAATCTGTCTACTTCCCTCCCTGGCTGTCACCTAAGTTTTGACCCTTGCTGTTCAAATTGTGGTCTAGCTCAGGAGGACAGCACATTTTTCCTGTAAAGGACCAGATAGTAAATATTTTAGACTCTGTGGACTGCAATCTCTTGCAGTGACTCAACTCTGATGCGATAGCATGAAGCAGCTGCAGATAATATGAAAACAAATAGAAATAGCTGTGTTCCAATAAAACTTTATTTATAGAAGCAGATAGCAGGCCAGATTTGGCCCATGGGCCACAGCTTTCGAACCTGGGAGTGTGTTTGAAATGCAGAATCACAGGTCCCGATTCCCCACCACCAGATCTGCCGAAATGAAGTCCTCACTGGAAGCAGATTCCTAGATGATTCCTGTATACATCAAGGCTGTAGAGGCCTGGTCTCCTAGGACAAGGCCCCTCTCTGACCTGCTCTGACAACCTAACTCGTGTCCCTGACTTTCATCTTCATTGAACTCTCACAGTCCCCCAGACCGTTCACCACAAAGCAGCCAAAGGCATCCTTTGAAAACACAAGTTGAATCACATCACTTGCGAGCTGAAAATTCCTCAGTAGCCTCCTCTTATGTAGGGATGTTGAGACTTGAAGGACAGGAGGGAAATGGCTCCAGGGAGAGACCACAGCCTGTGCAAAGCCTTCGTGGGAAGGCACTCGGCCAGTGCGCTCAGGGTGCAGTGTCTGAAGTCAGTCTACATTCTTCCCCTCAGCCCGTTATACGTGTACCCTGTTTCCACCCTGTTTAGAGGCCATTCTAAAATGCGTAGTGTTTACTATGGGGCTTTAAAAAAATCTGTCACCCACCAGAAAGCCAGCGCAAACCGGGCAGGAGTCATGTCTGTCTTGCTCCCACCCTCTCTGCCCACATGCAAAGGGCTGCAGCCAACAGGTTGAATAAATATTTGGTGCCTAGTGAGTGTGGTCCTCTTACATAGAAGTCAGAGCGAAGTTTTCAGTTAACTGGGGAAAAGAGAGGACATGGTGGAAGGAAAAGGTAAATTTAAGCCCAATGGCAAGTGTCCCGTTGGCAAGTGCTGAGACCCAGTTTGTATTTTAAAAACACTTCTGTTGCTCCATGAGGGATGGTTTGTAGGGTAGGGAGAGCTCAGTGAACGCTGGAGGGCAGGGCAAGGGACATCACAGCTGCCTGGGCTCGGGGCTGGAGGAGAAAGGTCCAGAGGAGCGAGGCTCTGTGCAGGGGCCCAGCTTTGCTGGAGACCCGGGAGGGCGTGGGACTGACTGCTGCACCGCGGAGGGGGAAGCTTGGCAAAGGGTGGCCTAACTTTAGGCGTCTCCTTCCTTACGCAGATGAAGGTGTCCGTGTGGCTGCCCCGTCCACCCATTCTTCAGCCTCCCAAGAAAGAGTTTGAGAGCTTTAAAAAGCAACCTCAGAGGCCTTCAGAATTGTTCCATCGTGCAGAATATATGTCAGCTGGAAAACATAAAAGGAAAAGGCAATAACCAGCGTGAGCTTTAGAAGGATGGGACAGAAGGGTAGCTTCAGGGCATCTCCTCGCTTCTCAATTCTTGCTTCTCCCTTGTCTGATAGTCATCACACAATTCATCAGTCAGTCAACAAACTTACGTTTCAGTTACATTTATTATATCGTGACTGCCTGGGACTTACTCTCATGTAATGCTCAGCACCCAAAGAAGCATGCCAAAGGTCTTCCTGTGGCAAGCCTCTTTCCTTGGGCTTAAAGAAATCCAAAGAAGGAGCCAGGCATGGTAGTGTATGTCTATAATCCCGTTGCTCTGGGAGGTTGATTAGGAGGATTGCATGTTCAAATCCAGCCTAAGAACTGAGTGAAATTTAAAAAGGCAGGGGATGTAGCTCACTTCACAGGCCCAGAGTTCAATTCCTACTAACAAAAAAAGGGTCAGGGATTTAGCTCAGTGGTGCTGCCACCTGCCTCGCAAGGTCCTGAGTTCAATCCCTAGTACCATAAATAACCCCAAAACTGTCTCCTAGTAACAAAAAAAGAAAGAGAGAGAGAGAGAAAGGAGACTCTAATTCAGGCATGGATGGTGACATGCACCTGTAATCACAGCCCTCAGGAGGCTGAGGCAGGAAGGTCACAAGAGGCAGAATGAGGCCAACCTGGGCTACATAGTGAGACTTCATGAGGAGACTCTGTCTCAAAAACGCTCAAAAAGGAAAAAAAGGAATAAGGAGACTTGTGTGCACCTTTCTCCTTTCTGTTCTGTTTTTTCTTTTCTTCCTTCCTTCCTTCCTTTCCTCTTTTGCTTTCAGAGGAGGCTGGCTGAGTCATGGTTCTAAATAGGTCATTGCTGTTGAATACAGGGTACCCTTAGCAACTAAGTTAAATGGACACTTCGCTCGCAGCGTTAAAAGCATTTTTACCCTGTGTGTTTAAACTGTCTGCGCGGCGTGCTCTCCGGGTGATTGTTTTTCAAAGTTGATTTAATCCTGACACTTCATAAAATGTGTGCATCCATTAGAGCAAGAAGATTTTATTCATGTTCAATAGAAATCTCTGAAAGAGTGGAATCAAACCAAATGCAAAGAAACAGCCCGGATCTGGTGAGGAGGAGACGCAAATGTGCAGGGAAAGGGCAGGATTGGGGGGAACTGCTCCTCGCTCCCCCCCCCGCAGTAAGTTCCTAGTCACAGCCAGAGTGCAGCGCAGAACCTGCCAAATGTTCTCCCTTAGCAGCCTTAACTGTTGAAATCATTCCTTCTTATTGCAACAATAATGCAAATGCCCACTGACTGGTGATTCTGGCCATTTTGTGAATTATCACATAAAATGAAACGCTGCATTGTGTTCCTTTCTCCATGGGGTTTGTACTCACACTCCTGCTGGTCCTGAGCACCCACCTCACAGCTGGTCATCTCAAGGCCCTCGTCCCCTCAGAGTGACCACGGCCGCCAAACCAGGTTGCTGCAGACTGGACAGCACGGCGTGCCAATCAATCAAAAGAGGGAATTGTCTATTTAAGAAAGTCACTGAGATTTGTATAATCCTTTTCTTCTTCCTTCCTTTCTTCTTTCTTGCTTTCTCTCTCACTAGGAAACTCGGTATGATTAGCTTTGATTAGAATCGTGCCAGAGCAGAGAAAGAACACACTCTAGAAAGTCCCCATAGAATTTCTGCCTGCAGCCCCAGGCTGCAGATTTTACTGGCTTTCTGGGAGGAAATGAGCTAGGTGCGATGAGATGACTAAGACAGTAACTGGCAAACATCTCGATTCAGTGATCAGAGTTATCAGATTGGAAGTGTTTCCACAGCACAGTGTGTTCTGAAAAAAAATTCCGAGGTTGCCCACTAAAAGAAAAAAAAGGGAATTTCAGAGGATTGCTTAGTGCAAACTTAAAAAGCAAGTAGTCAGTAATTACAGCTCAGTTAATGAAGAATTGCAGATCATTAAGGAACGATGGAGGTGACGTATCCGAAGTGTAATGAACTAGAGGACATGAAAGAGATGACGTCATCGTCAGGCCACAGGCGCTTCCACGCCCACCGTGTCCGTCTCCGTGACGTCTGTCGGCTCCAGGCTTCTTAAATTAGAGCCGTCAGTGCCGTGCGCACAGGTGGAAATGCTGCCACGGTTGGGGCCGTTATGACCTCTCCTCTCCTCTCAGCCTTGGTGCTGCCTCGTCTCGCGTGCGAGGCCGGCAAGAATGAGAAAACAAAAGGGGCCTAATTTGCTTTTCCATCAACCTACTCGGGTCCTGGTGGCAATGATCCACTCCCAAGGGCCAGCCAGCAATCTGCTTATCCCTTAGGCCCCACCTGCCAACAGTGCTGCTCTGGGGACTGAGTGTCCAACGCTCGAGCTTTGAGCCACACACTCGAACCAAGGTGAGAGCCAGTGTGTGGTCAGGGGTCGGACAGATGACCAATTACCAAGCCCATTCAAGGGCAACTGGAGAAATCTGATACATATCTATGTCTCATATACATAGTAGACTTTATATGATATTAACAAATTATCATTTTTGTTAGATGTAGTAATACTTTGGCTATGCATAATGTCATATCTGTATTTTAAAGTGTATAAAAATGTTAAAGCCTTTAAATAGTTAAATACATCAAATGTAGAAAATCTTAGGGCTAGGGGAAGTAGCTCAGTAGCAGAGTACCTGCCTAGCATGCATGAAGCCCTGTGTACAATCCCTACCCTAGGTAAAAATGTTGGAGAAGCCTTAGATTTTCTGTTTTCAAACATGCTTCAATTTTTTGTATTTCTATATTGTAAATATATAATTATCTTTAATAAGACAAATTGTCTTTAATAAGTATACATATATAATGAAATATATTTTTTTTCTAGAATAAAAGTAATTAGGGGAGAATGGGATAAAATAAAATTTATTAAAATCTAAAAAGTAAAAAATAAAAAGGGCTGGGGATTTAGCTCAGTACTGCCGTGTCTGGCTCACAAGCTCAAGGTCATGAGTTGGAGTCCCAGTACTGAAAAAAAAAAAGAAACAAAAAAAGAAATAAATTTTTAAAAATAAAATAAAATAAAAAATTAAAGTAAACCCTCTTTCCAAGAACAAGCAACCTAAAACCATCAATAAATGACTTACATATGTTTAAAAACAAGTACCTATATCAAATGTGTTACTAAATGTTTTGTTTTAGAAATACAGAAGTAACAACCAGAAGAGCATCTGAAAGTTAAAAGTGCCTGCCTCCAGGGAGCAAGGCTGGGATGAGCAGAGATGAAGTGGGAAGGGATGTTTCTATTTACCACCCCTCAATCTTCGGACACACTTGAGCCATTTTGCCTTTCTGCCTCAGGATGAGCACACATCCCAGGCCCACTTACCACCCACCATGATTTCTTAAGAGTTGTAGCTAATTTTTCCAAAGATGACTCTGTTGTGTGAAGTTCTGAACTGTCGAAACAAAAAACAAGATTTAATTATTTTCAGTTCACTCTAGTTAGACAAGAATGTAGACTAACATTTTAGCTAAGTTTTTCTTCATAAAATTGAAACAAAAAGAAATTGTGAACAATGACATTCCATTAACCACAGCATTCTGCAAGGGCTCAGCGGCTTGGCTGGTGAGTCTTAGTGAAACCGAGAATGCACATAGCAAGCAACTGCTGTGGACTGACGCTTAAGGCCATCGCTGGGCATCCACAATACCAAGAGGACTGCACTGTCAGGGAGATTCTTAGAGGGTACCATGACCTGACATCTTCAGAAGTGGACAATATAACTTACATCTTCCTGATAAAATGTCCAATGGACTTAATGAATAAAAATATCCTATCTGAGAGAAAAGTGCTTCAAGAGAGGAACTTCCATGGAAGAATGTGTTTGACATGTGGTACGGATTTAGCAGTGTTGTTGGTTGCTGGATGGGTAACTGGTTAGCATTTTTATCAATTAAATCTCTTTTGCACTAGACATGAGATATCTACTGTGCAAGATCTCATCCAATTTTTAAAGTATTTTAAAAGTCACAGAGATAAATGTTCATCTAAAGAGAGAAAAATTTCATTACTTTGAGGGAATACTCTCATTTTTAGTTAATCGGAATGGCCTATTAACACCATCTTATTTTAATTTGGCAGGAAAGCATTGACATGTTACTACTAACCCAATTAATTGATTGACTTAACCAATTAATAAGCTTAATCTTATTAAGCTCATTACTCTTCAGCGAATAATTGTTGAGCTTCTACATGCAAGCACACTGGGAATGCATTCGTAAGCAAGACAGACCTGATCCCTTCTCCTTCAGTTTGAAGCCTAGTGGAGAAGACAGATCTCAAACGAGAAACTAACAGGAAACAGAACTGGCTGTCCAAGGGGAGAAGTAGAGGAAAGCCTTTCGAGTGTGGTCCGGACCCAACCACCCCACGAGACACCGGACCTCTTTGCGCTTTGTCTACTCCGCCCTTTCCTCAGGTTGAAAATCCAGAAGTGAATGCTGACTCCTCAGTGACTTGGGTGGCAACAGGGGAACAGGGAATATATCACAGCAGAATGCACGACCCATCTGCAGACCCCTGCCTCCTTGATGGTACAGATAAGAAAACTGAAATTCTAACTGTAAGCAACATGTGTGTTATCTTGTGATCCAGATTTGCATCATGTTCTAAAACAGGGGTCTTGCTTATTTCGGAATGTCCTCATTGTGGAGGTAAGCTAAGCTGGCTTTTCCTTTTCCATATTTGGAAGTTGAAGGGATCTAACAGTGAGTTTTAAAATGTAGAATTCGTTACCAAATTGGCCGAGGATTTATTGAATTCCCACTGTGTGCCTGGCTCTCCAAATTTATTGAATAGGAGCCAGCTGTAATCTCTGGCCTCAAATAGTTTAGAATGAAAGCATTGTAATAATGGCTGTGAGATACTTTCCTGTCTTATACCCGATTTCACAAATGGCTTAGTTGGTTCTTATATTTAGGGTTCTTCCCTGCAATCAGCTATGCAGACAGCTATGAGGAAGAGTAACCTGGCCCCCGGAGCCACTTTTATTCCACAGTGAAAACCAAGGTTAGAACTGTCTTTGCCCTTAACACAGTATTCTTGCCAATGATCTCTAGTGACTTTAATTCTCAAGTACTTTCTAACTTCAAAATCTTAAATACAATCATTTTTTAAAATGGCAATCTAAGGGAACTCCATGACTTTTCTTTCCTGGTTAAAAAAAAGTAAAAGAAAACAGAGCGAGCAGTAGCCCTGTGCACTAACACAGCCAAAGGGCACCTAGGTCCCGGAGCAGGTCTGTGGCATCAGCTGGCGCAGATCCGGGGGGCTGTTCTCGGGCTTTTGTTCTGAGATTGCCTGCCTATGCCTGATGTACCCAGTCCTTCTGGCTCCACATAAGCCATGAAGCGGACCCTGCAGCCAAACGAACTGCCCTGCGCAGGCTAAACTCAGACCTGTTGTGTTGATTGATAATCAGCTCCCGACAGCTGATTTCTGTCCCACGGACAATAAATTGCTGCGGCCCATTCTACTCTAACTGTGCTGCAGCCACTCCCCAGAGAGAGGAGCCTGAATTCACGAGGCCTCAGCCCCTCAGAGCTCCCGGGCTGTCAGCAGCTGCAGCCCAGACAAGACTCACTTACCGCCAGAGAATCCCCTATGGGGTGGGGAGTACCGGGGAGATGTTTATCCATTCACTGTATTCAGATGTACATCCCACATCCATGAAAATTCATGCATCGCCTATTGTGCTACCTAACCTCGGGGACTCGCATGTGCATGCACAAGCCCCAGTGTGCTCAGGGGCCAGGAGCCGCACAAGCCCTGGAGAGGCTGAGTTAACCCTTCCACACTCTCAGGGGCACAAGAGAAAATTCGCCAACAACCTCCCACAAAGAAGGACAGGAGGAAACAGAACTGGCTCTGCCTCTTACTTGGACCCCACTTAGATGCCATTGGTAATTAGGATCCATTATTAATAAGGAATATCTCTGGATGAAAGAGCTACTATGCTGCACAAGTAAGTTTTGCTGAACTTGTCTGCTTTCGCGAGGATCTTTGGGTCTGGAGGACCATGAGAGCCCTGCTCAGCAGCATAAAGAAATACACGCCCAATACAGTTAAGGTCACCAGGTAAGTGGGACGCTCTGCTCCTACACAGCACGGAGAGTTCTGCTCTTCCTGACCAGTGCGGGGGACCCTCACGCAAGAGGCTCTTTCCAAACAGTATCCTCTGTCCCAGGCCTGGTCTCTTCCCCTGAGGGGGATATGGTTTAACCACACTAGAAAATAGCCCACTTGACTGCTAGCCTCAGAGGGCCCGGGAAGGGAGTGCTTGGCCTGTATCTGAGCCCCTGCTGGCCAGGCCTCAAGAACTGTTTATAGGAGCAGCTGGAGGAGCCCACGAGCAACTGCTCAGCTCCCTCCTCTCATCCAGAACACTGATGCAGTGACGAAGCAGCCGCAAGGGCAGGGATTAAAACGGGGAAATTATCTTGCTCCAGCGGCTCCAGGGGAAATACGTCCTTCAGTGAGGTTTAATTCTATTTGCAATTAAATTGAGAGAATGGCTAAAGCAGTCCCCTTTTTTATTGGCATTTTGCTGGTAAAGAGAACACCCAGAAGTGATGGCTTTAGACCTAGCTGTAAGTGGTTTTTTGTACTGTGTTTTGTTTTGTGCTTAAATTACTGGTTCCCCATTTGAGGGCAATCCCTGTAGGACCGAGAACCCTCCAAACTCCTGTCATCTCCATTAAAACTGAGGGTCTTAAACCTCGTAACTTGCCTTTATCACAGACTTCTGTTCCGTGCATCAGCTGCTTTTATTTGGTTTTATGCAGATCTTAACGCTAAAGAGCCCAGCTGATCAGCTTCAGGGAGGAAGACTTACCCCGCTGGCCTGATTCTTACACTTAGGATCCCTGCCTGGCCCTTCTCCCACCAGTTCCTGAGGCCCTCAGATGGCCTCCGGAGCGGCTACCACAAAACCCCCCGGAGGTGAGTTTAGCAAGCCTGAGCCTTAAAGCACGGAAGAGACCTGAGGCATCTCCAGCCCCCTCCGGTCTAAAGTCCAGAAACACGGGGAATGAGCAGCACAGGTATCTCTGGTACCTTCCTCACACCTGCCTGCAGACAGCGTTCTGGGAGGTGCTCCTCACCTACAGCATTTCCCCGCCTCTCCCTAGTGGGAGCAGTTCCAATGCCTGAAGAGATCAACAAGCGTTATTATTTGTTTTTCTAACACTAGGGGCAGTTTTTTTTCACTTGCATAAGGCAGACTTCAGCTCAGTTTTTCTAACTTACATTTGCTCTAAAGCTCCTGAGATCATTTGGCTACAGTTCTCATCAGCAAGCTGAACAAACATTAGAGACCTGCACGGTATGGATGGGTCATGTGCCAGTGACTCTTCATCCTAAAAACAAGTCTCATTCTTCTGCTGGAAGTAGAGGCTCTAGAGCATGTCAGTTGTGGGCAGACAGACCCAGTAGTGTGTTCCTGCTGCTCACTGGCTTCGGAAGTCTAAACTGGCCGTCAAGGTTACGTGAGGTTACTAAACAGAAATGCTGTAAGGAAATAGTATAAGATACTCACTGTATAGATAAGGTTTTAAGTGAAATTGTAAACATTCAGTCCAAACATATCCAATTAATTACAAGTTTCTTGTGTTGCGTTTACAACAAAAACAAATAAAATAGTAGTAGCTGGGGCTAGGGTTGTAGCTCAGTGCTAGAGCCCTTGTGAGAGGCAATGGGTTTGACCCCCAACACCACAACAAATAAAATAAAGAGTGGTAACACCTAACACTAGCAGGCCCTGTGCCAGGCCCTGCTCTGGGAGCCAGAGATTTCCTCCTTTCATCCTCTCAACAGTTCTCCAAATGTAGCTGCTATCGCTATGTCCATTTACTAGATGAAGAAATGGAAAACAGCCAGGTGAAACAGCATGCCAGGGCCCCACAGTGGGTGGGAGTGCAGGGCCAGGATCAAACCTACGCAGCCTGTCTGGTAACGTCAACTCCAAACGCGAGTATAGGAGGTGCTCACATTCCCAATGCGCAAGGGGTTACTCACATTCCCAAATGTCCTCCTGATCCACTGTCCTCCTTATATCCCATGACTTCACAAGGTTTGGCCTCCTAGGCTGTCTCTGGCCTCTAATTTTCCGAGTCTGAGCTGCCACCCCTATTGTAGGGATTGCATTGCTTACTTAGGTAAAGTCATTATTATTGTTACAACAAGGCTTCCTGGGATTTGCTTATATATTTTTTAGCTGGCCCAGAATCTGTTTCTTTTTCTCTCTCTGGATAGCTGAAGCTTTGCACTTTTTGTCTCTTTCTCATCATCAATTCTTTCTTATATGCTAAACAGAACCTTGGCGATCTTTTCTTCTGCTCTTGCTTTTCCTCTTTGATTATTTTTCTCAAGAAGCTCTGCAGTTCGGAGGAATCAAATGGGCTTTCTGACCTTTAAGCCCACAATTCAATCCCCTAGAAAACTGATCCTCCCCTCCAGCGTGTTCTGTAGGGAGGAGTCTGTTGGTTTCTCCTCTCGAGAGTAGTTTGGTCACAGGGATGGAAATGGCGGGATGCAGTCACCATGGACGTAAGTGCCCATGTTCAAAGCCCATTGGCTACACCAAAGTACAGTATGAAAGCAAGCAAACTCCTCTCCCCTATAGGCCTGAAACAAACAGACATCAAATTCTAAAATGTAGAAAATAGTTTCAAAAGCACTGGATCATGGCGTGCTTATTCTGTCCTCTGCTATGATTCCTCTTTTTTTTTGGTACTGGGGCTGGAACTCAGGACATTGCACTTGCCAGGCAGGCACCATGCTATCTGATTCTTAAGGTCCTCTCCTATAAAAAGTCGTCTTCCTTTCAAGAAAGTCTTCTTTTGCTAAGTATCTTGTGCTGCATTTAAATCCACTTCCTCTCATTCTGCTCTCATAAAGAGCTAATTAATATCCCCTGCATTGGGATACCAAGACTAGCATGAAAATAACACTTCATATTCTCTTCCTCAAGCTGAACAATGCCATTTCCTTTCATTTTGTCTCCCAGGTTTTCCTTTCCAGCCCTTTAACCCACTGGCAACAGCAATGCAGTGAAGAATTGCTTCCTGGATGCTGTGGTCTGCACACCTATTCATACAGTGCCGCACTGCAATGCCTTCTGTTTGATCTGTCCTTTGTGCTTTGCAGAGCCTTCCCTTTGGCATTATGACATCACATGCTGCTTTCCTTGGAACAACAAAGCCGCATGACTAACTCACGCACACTTCTTGTCATCCACTGGGCCTCCTGAGCTCTTTCTCAACTCTGCTAGGAGTCCAGTCATTCCTACGCATGTTTGCTTGTTTTCCTTACCTGCTCCATTCTGGCCTAGTCCCTACTGGGCCTGTCATACTATTTTTCTCACTTCCTTCTGCCTAAATGAAAAATCCTCACAGTTTGAATATCAAGAAAAGCATATGATGGCATTAGTCTTAATGTACTATATATATATATATATTTTTTTTTCTTTCTCTCTCTGTTTGCTAAGATGTGGGATTTAAGATTTCAAACTTATTTGTGGTGGGATATACCTTAGATTATAACGAATACTTCAGAGATCTGAATGTAAGACTTGCATGCAAAACCCTAACCCCATTTTCATAAGAGCTCAATAGAGACTTCAGTTTAACAAATTCTTGAAATATTATTGATGATGACTGCTTTTTATGGGTATCTTCTGTGTCAGGCATATGTTGGGCACTTTGGGTCCATACTCCCCATAAACTCCCACCACCATTCTGCAAAGTAGGTATTAGGATGATGCATGGTCACTGAATCTGTCCCACCAGTCTTAATAAATAGACAGTGTTCCATAAATGGGTTCACATCAGCACTTGAAATCTAACAGGTTCCAATTACACTGGCCTGCAGCTCATAGCTACTCCTCCTTTGGGAATAGTCAATACACGGACACACACACACACACACACACACACACACACAGAGCTTCGTCGCCTGACCTGCACTGATCTACAGGTAGACATCTGACACAAGATAGACTGATCAATGTCTTACTTTCAGAAATCAGACACTTTTAGGCAGGGTCTCACTGCGTAGTTCAGGTTGACCTCAAACTCGCCTTGTAGCTCAGCCTGGCCTTGATCCTCTTTCCTAAGCCACCCAAATATTTGGATTACAGGTGTGCACCATGACTCCTGGCAGGAAATTAGAAACAACCCAAAAGTCACAGAGGCCAAGGGTTTGGGGCGGACACTGCCTAACAGCTGGGCCCACAAAGCTCCCCCAGTTCCCTGGGCTGAGGCTACCCTGTTCCCACCTTCCAGTAACTTCATTATTCATCTCATCCTTGGATTCCATGAGCCACCCCAGTATCCTACCCATAATCCTCCTTTTTTGCCTGCATCAGCCCCGACTCCCTTTCTGTCACTTGTAATAAAAATATTCCCGACATCCTTCTTCTTACCCAAAGTGGCCCAACAAGTGTCCACACTTTATTTCCCGCTGTCATTTCTCCATTCCTTCACACAATGGTCATGTTACCCGTAGACTTCTTTCTCCACCTGGGGCAAGCATGCTGTACCCTCAGCAATTCTGGCTTTGGGGGCTCTGGAAGCCAGATTCAGAATAGGTCTCAACACTAAAACAATGGAGCCTTTAGCCGGGCAGGGTGGTGCCACCTGTAATCCCAGCACTCGGGAGGCAGATGTGGAGGATGGCCATGAGTTCAAGCCCAGCCTGAACTACATAGTGAGACCTTGGCTCAAAAAGAAAAAGAAGAAAAAGGGCCAGGGATGTAGCCCAGCAGTGCAGCAGCTGCCTGGCAAACACGAGGCCCTCAGTTCGATTCTTGATACAAAAAAAAAAAAGCAAAGAGCCTTTTGCCCAGCATTTGAATGGGTATGTTTAGATTTTACACAAATGTATAAATGCACATATATATGTTTAAATGAACAATAACCAATTACAGGGTGGCATTCTGTTATTACTGCCTCATGCTTTCTGCGCTTCATATTTTGTTAAGAAACTGATGCATTTAAATCTTTTATTGTTTCAGCACATATGTGTGATCAATGAACATAGTAAAGAAAAATACGGAGTCTAAAAGAAGCAAATTCTCACTGACAGACTCTAGTATCACAGCTACAACCACATGCAGGAAGCCAGCATATAAAGCCTGTCTCCTCGGGCATCTTCACTCAGCAGGATAAAAAAGAAGTGTTTTCAGAGAGCTTTCTTTTCTGAGGCTGTAATCTAAAGTGTACCAAAGGTTTGTAAGGGAAGGAAAGCCGTGCCTTTATTTGACTTGCTCCATATTAAACACCACAGTTCTGACTCGCAGCTCTACCCAACTTCACACCCCTAAGCTACACCTTCTTCTGTTGTGATAGTCATCACGCTGGATCACTATTCCCAGGAATATCACCACCTAGTTACTCAAATATTTTTCACCTAACCTTTTTTAATACCCTATTTTTATAACACTTTACACTATTAAGACCCCGGAAACCTTCTAACTTAGTATCTGAGCTCATAGACTAAGAATCCAGCTAAGTTCCCATACTGAAAAAAAAAGGAGCGAAAGGATGACTTAACATACATTTCTGTTTGCACATTCCTGACAGGACTTTATTATCTGCTTTGACAAAGCCTTCAGACACGCAGAGGACAATGAATCTTAACGATGGTATGAGCGAGCCCGGCCTAGTGCTCTGGGTCTGAGTTTCCGGCGTGTGCATGTCAGCGGTGCATGGACGTACTCAACTGTGCTTAATACTCTGAATTTTAATTAGAAAGACACAATGGCAGCAGGGCCCTACATCCTTTTATTCGTGTGGGACATGGACTCAAGACAGGGAGTGTTTTCCGTGCCCAAAGCTAAGCAAGTATAGATTTTTCCTCCTATTTGCAGCAAAGGACAAGACACTGTTAAGTACTGTCCTAAACATGAACACAGGGGCCAAATTATTTCATGAAGTGTCCTTACGAGACAGGTCACAGTCTGAGGGGCTGTAGGAAATAAGCATACTTACAGAAGTTTTTTCTAAGTAACACTTTTTTACCGCCGTTGTGTGAGACATTTTCTAATTTGTGGGAATTTTAATCAAAAATAAATTTGAGTGTCAACAGAGCTTTTTTTCCCTCACTTCCTAAAGTGGATAAATGTAAAATAAATAACTGCTAGTAAGCAAGCTTTGTTTGGTTTTGAACTGTATGGGGTATGTTATGAGGCTCTAGTGTCCTTTAATAAAAAATCAGAAATCTGGTTATATTTCATAAATGCTTACTGTTTTTCTTCTACCTTCATATTTTTAATATACTTGCAGCCATTAAGATGTGTATGAGCCAGTAGCTTAAATATATAATTGCATATACCTATTCTGTGTCTTTATTTTTGTTAACCTGGATTAAATCCAATGTATGCACTAATATAAGCAAACAATTAAGCCAGTATGTATCTACTGCTTTTACTTTTCTTCCCCCCCCCAACCTTGTTTGTAAGAACAAGGCATTTTAGTTGTAAAGGAAGATTTTCCTGCTTCTCTTTGTTCTGATCAGAAAAGAAAACAAACCACACCCATGTATCTCAACGGGAAAATCAGCAAAAGGAATCCCTTCTAGCTTTGTTCTGTAACATAATTAATACCCAATTTATAGGATTAATACTTGTATATAACTAGCCAATTTCTTGAGATATCAAAATTTGTCATCCAAACATAATTTTCTACAATGCCACATTTGTATCAAGAAGACCTAGGGAAATCCAGGCACATATTTTATTTTAAATTAAAATCATCCTTAAAGTATGTTTTCTTGGTCTGGAGATTTAGCTCAGTGGTTTTGCCGCCTGCTGCGCAAGCTCAAGGACCTGAGTTCGATCCCCGGTACCTAAAAAAAAGTATGAATTTTCTTGAATTTTAGTAAACATCAGTATAATTTTTGAGGATGGTTTATTCAAATTATGAAGGAAACTAATCTAATTTACAATATTTTGAGGACTTGTATAGTTAAAGCTGAGAAAGACAAACATTAAATACATGAGAAGTGTAATCATTCCTGCAATTTTTTCCTATCAGACAATATTTTGAGAGTGATATCCAAGAATGTCATCTTGGGAAAAACAGTATTGTCTTTTCTCTTGCAAAACTCTAGCTTAATACTAAAATTATAAAAGCTTCTTACCTGATTAACAACAAAGCTGTTTAGTGTTCCAAAAGTGATTAGTAGAGAGGGGTAAATTGTGTGTGTGCGTGAGAGAGAGGGAAACAGCGATGGGGAAATTTGGTTTCAGTTATTATCAATATTAGTAATACTCTGGGATTTTCCCAAACATTTAGAACCCCTCATTGTAAACTGGCTGGGGTCTGCCGCAGGTTGAACCGTGTACCCACGATGTGAACAGCAAACAGTAAAATCCCAGAGTGGCGCCTTGGGCATTCTTTGGCTATCTTTGAATACAACATGGTTTTCTGTGTTTCCGCTCTTCTGAGACTACAAAAAACAGCCTTTCAGACCAAGTCAGGCATTTGCTCAGCCTCTTGTGGGATAAACTTGTGATTTCCCAATGGAGAAAGAAAGAAACTTGTCCTACTTCCAGAGACCTGGTGTGGTGGAAATATTTCCTCCCTTTTGTAATAGAAGTCGTCCATTTTAGGAAACTGGAACCCTAAGTCACACTCCATCCAGTCGTCTGGCCCATCTGAGCAAACAGTATTTGAGAGTTTTACTTTGCTGTCATGAAGTTCCTTTGCACCCCTAGGTGACACTGAGGACTGGTGGGAAGGCTGCTTCAGGGAGAGAGGGAGGGAGCAGATGACCGCCTTGCTGCAGAAGGCCAGCAGAGATGGAAGCTGGTGTTTGTGGGGAGGGCTGCACAGTCCCACAGCCTGGTCAGACCCCATAGCTGCTTCTGAGCCACTGTGGAAGAGATGCCAAAGACTTGGGTCCACAGCCTGTTTGCTAGGTGGCCTTTTACTGCGGGGTGGAGCTGACAAGCCCATCTCCACGTTCACTGAGGAGTGGGGCAAAGCTTAGGGGCAGGGAGAGGTGGGGTCCAGATCCCTGTTCAGGTTCCCAGGGCTCTGCTGTGGGGAGAACTTGGGGCTGGGAAGTGTCCACACCCCAGGGCTCAACCAGATGCCCCTTCAGAGGCTTCGAGCATCCACAAGGATCCCAGAGCACCACATGAGGTGTAGTTGGCCGAGACATGGACAAGGCGCAGAGCAGCCCAGAAACACAGCTGCTGTGTGAGCCTCTGCCAGTGCCCTGCACGAAGTCACCAGATCCCAGGGACCCTGCCACCCTGAGACCAGGGTCAGCCCTCGGGAGAGGTTTCTTTCTTTCTTTTATTTTAAAGGGCTCTTTTTTCCTCTACTCAGAATAGATGGGAGGTTGGAGTTTTGTTTGTTTGTTTGTTTGTTTCATTGGTTGATATTTGCAATTTCCCAGCCAGGAATGGGGGGGGGGCTTTTTTCTGCCAGAGCAGATTTTCCTCAGAAATAACTAGAGGAGAACATGAAGACAGGGTGGGGTGCTAAAATCCAACATTTTCCAAGAGGGAGAAAGCAGGCTGAATTCATGTTCCTGTGACCTTGATATGGCGGGGCGGGGGGCGGGGAAAAGGGGCAAATCCCAAACCTGCTGGGTATCCGAAACGTGAGTTCCTGGTCTCTAAAATCGAAGAATCAATTCTAGGAACAACAGAGGTTAAGAGCAGGAAAAAATTATTGAGAGAAAGACAGCTTCTAAGAGAGACAGAAGGAGGACCACAGAAGGAGGACCGGAAAGTGGGTTGCCCCCTGACTCTGCTACTCAAAGGTGTTTTATGGGACAAAGGCACGAGGTAAGGTGAGGTGGGTTCAAGGTGGGATGAAACTACAACTAGTAGGATTGCAAGTAGGGTTGCTTAGGTAACACTGATCCAATGAGAAATCACAAGGTGGGCAAAACTATGATCAACCAATAAGATTACAGCAAGTATAGTCACTTAAGGTGATATTGATTAAACGGGGATCCAATGAGGAAGCAAGTCACATAGCAAGTGTACAAGAAACTGTGCAAGGATTTTTGCTAAGGGGTGGGTCAGGGACCTTTCCTGGAGGATCTTGGTCCCCCATCCAGGAGATTGATACCTATTTAGAATACCAATCACTGCTATCTATCCTAATAGCAGTGGGAGTAGTAGTTTTCTTTTACAATGCTCGCCTTCAGTGAATGTGTCTTGATTGCCCTCCATGTTGGCTTCTCCAGGGCCAGCCCTGTCTGGCTGCCTACAAGATATCTAACTAATTTACCTCATTTATAGCCAGAGTCATAGGTGTAGAGTAGTGACTCAGCTTCACGTAAGGAAGATGAGCGTAGACAGCCCACTCAAGCAGCCTGGCTGTGAAGAAACCCATAACCATTGCTAGAAGGCTTTTCAAAACACTGCAGGTGGGCTGGGGGGAGAGCACCATGGAGAGCACTGGCCTAGCAAGCACAAGGTCCTGGGGTCAATGCCTAGCACCTTAAAAAGGAGGGGATTTGTGCTTTTCTGTTTGCTGTAGAGAAGAACAAAACCCAGAGAGGGAGGAAGAATGTATTTGTTATTGATTGCTTTGTAACAAAACTGACAGTCATTTATTACTTGTTGTGGTTTTCCAGAGTGCCTCTGCTCTGTGGAATCTGGTACCAAGTGCTGGTACTTCTGGTGGAAGTCAGAGGCTGGGGCTATGGGACAGCTCCACTCCCCTGAACCTGGGCAGTGCCCAGGGGCAACCCCCTCCAACCTTTGTCCTAAGGACTACTAATGCCCAGAGGCAAAGATAAGAAAACAAAACCCCTGGGCCCACTCTAGAAGATTTTGAAATCCCAAACCAGGATGCTTGAGTGCCAGACCAGCTGGCATGACCCAAAGTAACTTACTTCACCTGGAACCCATTAAAGGTGGTCTGCATTTCATACACCCCCTTATAATGGAGAGAAGTATGGGAAAGGACATCAGTAGCAGACACAACTGAAAAGACTTAGCGCCCTGTCAACCTCATTGTCAATCACGCTCTGGAAGCCCCAGTGAGAGCCACCCTAGACCCCGCCCAATACTTTCCTCTTTTTGAGGCAGGGTCTCCTGGGTACTTCAGGCTGTCCTTGAACTCACTGTGCATCCCAGCCTGGCTGTGAACTTGCAGTGATCCTGCTGCCTCAGCCTGCCAAGTGCTGGGATTACAGGCGTGTGCCACCATACCCGGCAGCACTTTTACTTCTTAAATTCAATGTCTCCAGCACTTGTGCCATTTTCCTTTCCACCAGCATGAGACTGCTCACTCTGGGGATACTGTTGCCTGATTAAAACTTTTTCCTGAGCATTGCGTGTCTCATCCAATTCTTTGTTTGTCATGTACAAGAACCCAGGGAACCATCCAAGAAAAGCCCCATCACCCATGGTAATAACCCTGTGAAGCTAAACTGCTCAATGGAGCAGCCATTAGACACATGTTATTTAAACCAACATTGAATAAAATCAAAACTTCACATCCTCATTCATTCTAGCTGCGCTACAACTGCTAGTAGCCTCTGGTGGTGCTTGCCATGGTGGACAGGGCAGACACAGGCCATTTTTCTGATCAGAGAGCATTCTATGGATAGCTCTAATGAGACAGCTCACTTATTCCCATGTCTAGCTGCCAGCTAGAGCCTCAGCAGAACCTGTCAGTTGGGATTCTTCCATGTGGACTCCCCACCTGGTCCAGGCTTCCTCACAACATGGCAGTTGGCTAGGTTCCAGAGGCAAATGGAAAGAAAGAAGAGAGCTTACTATATTGCCTCTTATGCAGCAGGTTCATTTCTACTACATTTCACTAGTTAAGGAAAGGGAACATAGACTGCCACTACCTCATGGAAGAATAGCAACCTCATCTTATAAGGAAATCAAGTATCTTCAGATAATACAGTCACCCACAGAAACGTTATATGCCCTGCTCGTTTCCTATTAAGTTTGGTGAAGGAGTTGATTATTCAGTGATCATGATATGTGATTGAAAACATACTTGCTTACAAAGATTGTTAAGAATTACAAATCATGAAAGAGAAGGAAAAAAATTTAAAAATTACAGAACCACCTAGCCACATATGAGAAAATACAAGATAACAAGAATACTAGACAGTGCGTATACCTTCATTATAAAGGCAGAAATTCATATTTACCTATATCAGGGTCGGTGGGCTGAGGGGAAGCCTGGTCAGGCAAGATTCCCAAAGAAAAGAACACATGTGGAGCAGACATTAC